TAGGTTATAACCTATTTTTTCTACGAAATAGTTATGATGATTTAGCTCAGATCCGTTGTTATTTTTCGAATACCTTACGTTTACGCGGACTTATTATCACCTATTCAAACCTATTTTGTGGTTTTGCAACCTAAAATAAGTTGTAACCTATTTTGGTTGTTTTTCGTAAAAATTCGATTTTTTACCAAAATTTTGTCAATTTTTCGAAAAACCCTAAAACTTTTCAAAAATTTTGTCAATTTTTCTTATCATTCAAAATTTTTTTCCAATTTTTGAAAAAATATTTTTTCAAAATTAAAAAAATTTTTATAATTAACATTTTCCATTTAAAATTTTAAAAAAATGGGAATTTCACCTATTTTTCATCATTGTCACCAGGGATGGGCGAAATCAAAAAATAAAAAGCGAAATGCGAAACTTTTTTTAAAAAAAATAAAATGCGGAATGCGAAACCTTTCGCGCCAAAAAATGCGAAAAATGCGAATGATGCGAAATGCGAAAATGCGAAATTATTTAAAATTCAAAAAATTTTATTCATATTCAAAATTATAAATTACGAGATTATGATGCAAAAATAAAAGCATTTCTGCATTTTCTTGAATAAGACGTTTCCTCAGATTGTTTATTATTAATCCTGCACTACTAAACAACCTTTCTGCTTCAGCTGATGTACAAGCCACGTAAATGTGAGATTAAAAATGTTGTTGGCGCACGTGGCGGGTAGTTTTTTGAAAAACTACAACTTTTGCAGAACGCTACTCTTCCAGAAAGTGAGAAATACTTCCATATTAAAGACATTATAATTTTAAAAAATTTCTTAAAAATAAAAAAAATACTTTAAGAAAAAGCGAAACAAATTTCGCATTTGGACCAAAAAGCGAAATGCGGAATGCGAAACTTTTCGCGCCAAAAAATGCGAAAAATGCGAAAGATGCGAAATGCGAAAATGCGAAATCGCCCATCCCTGATTGTCACCTATTTTGGAGTTTTTGTCACCTATTTTAAGATTTTTACAACCTAAAAATCCGGGCCCTACTTATTATTTAAAACAATAATCTCTTTCATCAGCAGCCAAAAAAATAATTTTTATTTAAAAAACTTACTTTAGAACAAAAAAATAATGGAAAATTTTGTCACAACAAAAGACGGAAAATTAAAATGTAAAATTTGCAAACGTAAGTTAAAAGATAATTTTGCCGGATTAGCAAAACATCTTTACATAATACACAATATGAGCTTTATCAATTCTGAACAACCAGATGCAGAAATAAATTTACATAATCAAGTATTAAATTTACAGAAGTTTAAAAATTTGTGGAATGTGGTTTTTTGTTTATGAATTGGGTCAAATATGATGTCATTCGAAAGAGCTTCGAAAACTGAGTCTAATTATATATGGGAGTCAGACATCTAGGAGGGTTCCGTGACTTTTGCGCCGTGAACATTTGCGCCGCGACTTTTGCGCCGCGAATTTTGCGCCGCGACTTTTGCGCCGAGCGACTTTTGCGCCGGGGGACTTTTGCGCCGCGACTTATGCGCCGGGCGACTTTTGCGCCGCGACTTTTGCGCCGGACGACTTTTGCGCCGCCACTATTATTACTAATTATAAAAAACTACAGCGGGCCTCACTATAGAAAGGCCGAATTCGGCTATCCGGCCTTTTTCAGATCCGGATATCTGGACCCGACAACCTTAAATATAGTGCACTCTCTTCTGGCAGAAAATCATGCTTGAATAGGGGTAGCAGACCAAATATCCTGATCCAAAAAAGTCAAGTTCTTTGAAGATGACACCTCTAGGGGGTCTGTTTATTAGAAGGGGCTATTGTACTTCCTGAAATATTGTACTTCTTGAAATTTCTTCAGTTCCTGGACGCCATTTTTTAAGACTTACACTATAATTATGTTTGACTGTATTATTTTTTATAATTATTGCGGCGCAAATGTCGCGGCGCATAAGTCGCCCGGCGCAAAAGTCGCGGCGCACAAGTCGCCCGGCGCAAAAGTCGCGGCGCACAAGTCGCGGCGCAAAAGTCGCCCGGCGCATAAGTCGCGGCGCAAAAGTCGCGGCGCAAATGTTCTCGGCGCAAAAGTCGTGATACCTCTAGGAGATGAGTTACAGACCCCTTGAATAGAAAAAAAGGAGGGGGGAGGTTGCTGATTATGGGTGAAAAATTAATTTTATAAATATGTAATAGCTTATTCGAAAGAATTCGACGAGATGAGCCGAATGATAGTTTGGGCAAAGTTCCGATAGAAAAAACCCAAGCCTATGGGATTCGGAGAGGCACTTGTCAGCCATATCTGGATCGGGGCTACGACTTTTCGTCAACGGACTTTCCGTCAATGGACTTTCCGTCAATACTTTTCGTCAATGGACGGACTTTTCATCAATAAATGATCGCTTTTAAAAAATTTAGGAAATTAATCGGCCTGTTCAAAGCCACAAATAACTAAATTTGTGCCCAATTTTGTTTAAGATTCCTTATTTCTTCAAATACTCTCGAATAACCTATGGGGCGTCGCCGAGGCGCTTGTGCAAAACCCCGCGCTTCGCGCGGGGTTTTGCGGCACGCGCCTCGCGGGGAGTCAAAGGTCGCTGGGTTCTACACCAGTAACATAAACCTATTCATTTTTACCGATTTTCAACCTTGAAAAGACTACCTATCCTTCGTAGTGACACAATTGCTTATAACTTTGTTCAGGATTATCAAATAAGTCTAATTTTCAATCTGACAACACTTTTACATACATGTATCATCTTCTATTTCTCTCAAAATTAAAAAACATCCACTCATTGACGAAAAGTCGTTGACGGAAGGTCCATTGACGGAAAGTCCGTTGACGAAAATTCGTGCCACCTCTGGATCAGAACCATAAAATGAACTTAGGCCCTTTTCTCCCATTTTTGGGTGATTAAAAAGTCGAACAAAAATTTATTTGAAATTGCAATTGGACTGGACTTCAACTTTTCTGAAATTTTGGATTTACCGTGTTAAAATCCAGAAATAACATTTAAATATCCGGGTTTCGGGCAACATGACTTAATAATCTCTTATCAATATGCGCTCATTTAAATTAATTTTTACATAGTTTATTTGTGTAATTATGAGTTTATAGCATGAAATTCCAAAAAATAATGGAATGATTAATTCTATACTGAGGAAATACCGATTAGTTATTTATCGATGCATAGTCATCTTTTTAAGGTTTAAAATTTTATTGAAACATATTAACATTTAATTATAAATTCATAAATAGGAACATATGTCATTAGACGAGATGTATAAGAAAATTTTTGGGCCTGATCACAATGAAGGTATGTTTGAATAATTATAATTAAAGATGGACATGGTTTTGCATATTTAAATTTCGAAAATTTAATAATAAAAAAATAATAATAATAAAAAGGAGTCACAGCGCGCCCCTATGATGGGTTATTTTTACTATTTATTCAACCAAGTACCGCCCAACCTATGATCCTGCCGAAAAAAGGAGAAAATTTTGGGTTCAAGAAAAAAGTCTCCTTAAAATGCCAAGAGTCTCCCTCTATTGCAAATTATACTTATTTTAAAAAGATGTGCCTACAACACAGGGCTATGATCAATATTTGTCCGCTGGTATATAAAAGAATCCATTAACAATAAAATTTTGTAATATAAATTAACAGCTGAATATGAACAACAAACACAAAAGGCTATTGAAGAATCTGTTCGTGAAATGCCTCGAGGTCGAGGAGGTCCAGTAATACGAGGTATAGTAAATAAATAAATCTGAGCTCTATCTTAGGATATGCGTCCCATGCAAGTTTATGCGTCCAATAAAAGTTTATGCGTCCCAAAAATAGTATAAGCGTAACACAATTGTGAAAACATTTTTTAATTTTATTAATGACAATTAGATATTTTATTCTATGTTCCTTGCTCAAGAGACAACGAGCATTAAATTAATATTTAACTAACGGAATCTGTCTTTTTTTTGAAACTAAATGGAAAATGTGTTTTTTGTGCATTATACTACATCATGACAAGTTTGCAAAAAATATGCATTTGCATAAAAATGCGATCTCTAATAAGCACCATAAACTTTCAAATATTTCCCAATTTTTAAATTTTATCTTATCGTTCTACGATTTTCGAATTTACTTTGGCTCTACTCCAGTTTATGCGTCCAATAAAAGTTTATGCGCCAATCAAAAAACAATTGGATTTTTCTTAGTATTGCAAAGTTGGGGTATGGTACCAAAACATTTCTTCATGTTCGGGACCTACGTCCACTGGGTCTGGGACCATTCCTTGCATTATCCCTCGAAATTTCGGAAAGTTTTATGTTTTGAAACAACTTTATCACCAGCTTTCAAGGGATATTAGTTTTTAGCGCTGCAGGTAAAATTTTTTTAATTTTAGAAGGCCAAGAAGACAGGAATCCTCCGTTTTTTGACAAATCGAATAGAAGAACAAAACCAAATTTTTCGGATGAATGTATGGATGAACCTTCAAAAATTGTTAATTTTTAATTAAAATTGATAATAATGATGTGTAGTCGCTTGTATCGTTGAATGGGGTACGGGTCTGGTGAGCAAAATATTGTCGGGGTAGGGTACGGAGGTTTAATGAATAAATGGCTGTAGTGTAGTGTACCGGTGGTAAGAGTTCGGGACATGTATTTGGAAGGAATAACGCTGTTCTGATTATTCGGTATTATTACTGGGTATTCATGATCACAGGAATATTTATATAGAGTTGAGACTTTAACCTTATTCTTTTATGCTTTTTAGAAACGATCGCCATTATGGAATCATTTCAATGATATTGGCGGTAATAGAGTAGAATGCAAACACTGCTCCGAACAATTAAAATTAGTTTCTGCGTTTAGTCATATCAGAAATTCACATAATGATATTTATGAACAAAATGTATATTTTTGTATATTTTTATATTATTGTTCATTTAATATCAGCCAAAGAAATAATTTTATATTTATTATTAAAATTTATTTCAGGGACAAGCTGTACTGGAACATTTTACCAAAATAGATAAAGGACAACATGAAGGAAAATTTAAATGTAATTATTGCAATCGTAGATTGAATGAGAATGTATCTGGATTAAGAATGCATTGTTTAAAACACGGAATTAATTTTGTCAATTCTGAACAACAAAATACAGAAATAAATGTGAGCAACTTAAAACTACCGTATTTGCTCTAATTGAATGACTCCTCTATTTGAATGACCCTTCTAATTGAAGGGTCATTCTAATTGAAGGTCTACCGAAATCGAGAATCAGACTTTTATCAGTGATTCCTTTTAACCGATTCTAGAAATTTTTGAAAAATTAGGTAATCTTCTACTTCATTGGTCCCTAGAAAAAAAGAAAGAGAAAAGTTCTTTTGTGATATTTTTAAGGTTTTGCTGGTAGGTAATCGCTTTAAACTTGTTTATTTTGTACTCCGGACCCGAATTCGACAATGTGGAATTCGTTCTGAAAATAAAAATTTCAAATTTTATGTCAAATCCGATTAGACTCTTCGAGCTAAGTCGAATGGTATCAAAATTATTGTTGCAACAACATTAGAAGAAGTTCTAATTAAATAAATAGACGCTTGGTTAGACTTCCATATACAAATTAGACACAATAACTTCGTATAAAGTTATAGAACATAATAATTTCGGTACCATTTGACTTGCTCGAAGAGACGAGTCAGATTATCCCTAGATTTTAATTTCGAAGTTTTACCCCGACTTCGATCTATAATATTTAATTATGAATTTATAAATAGGAACAAAATTCATTAGAGGAGATGTATAACGAACTTTTTGGGCCGAATCACAATGACGGTATGTTTGCATAATTATACATAATTAAGGACCGTACTCGGAGTGGCATATCTAAATCTTCGACCCCCCCCCCCCCCCCCCACCACCCTCTATTAGAACCCCACCCTCAAATACAGCCCACCATGAAGGATAGTTGAAAAATAGAGCCTCATGGTGCTTTAATATAGGAAATACGGTATATACTTATTTTAAAAAGATGTTGTGCCTGCATCACAGGGCTATGGGCATCATGCTCAATATTTGACCGATGGTAATAAAACAATTTACAAAAAATAAAAGTTTATAATATAAATTAACAGCTGAATATGAACATGAACACAAAAGGCCATTGAAGAATCTGTTCGTCAAATGCCTCGGGGTCGGGGAGGTCCAATAATACGAGGTATAAAAATGAATAAATTTATGTAAATTAAGAGTAATTTTAATTAATAAATTATCTAGTCATAAATAATTATAAAAAATATTTTAGATCGAGGAGAACAATCTAGAAGGGGAAAAGAGAAAGTAATTGAAGCTTCAAGCGATTCTGATTGAAGATTATTTGAATTTAAATGAAAGACAACGGATTTTATACGAGTTTAAATTTATAGGTATTTAACAAGAATGGGGGATTATACGGCGAAACGACACTTGCAGCAGACATTTCCAACCCATTCCCACCTTAAAGATATACAGGGTGTTTCAACTAAGAAATACTATTTGAAAAATCCATAACTTTTTTCTGCGTTGACAGATTTTAACGAAATTTGGTATTTTCTTAGTTGAAACACCCTGTACATTGCATTTTTGAGTGAACAACCGCAATTATCTGTCCTATAGTAAAAATATCACAATATATCGGTTAGCAAAAGTTTAACCACCGGGCAGCATTCGAATCTGCGACCTACTCATAGTTATTGCTAGGCTTTCACTCACCCACAACATTCAAGAACTCTACCACCGGTGAACAACATATAAATTTCCAAACATTAGCTGCAAGCGTCGCGCCCTTTTTAAATGGGTAGTTAAAAATGAACATTCAATTTTTTATATTTAAATTTGGGATTTTAAGCATAAATTTATTTTTTAAATTTGGTTAGTATGTTCTTATAAATATACTTTTGTTAATATAATTAGTTGAAATGAATTAGAATAAAAAACTTAGAAATGAAACACTTAGGTACTTTTTAATAGAGCTGCACGAGATCGAAATTTTAGAAAAAATCCGAGACCGAGATTGACCGAGACCCGCATGACCGAGACCGAGACCGAGATGCAAAATTTGACCCGAGACCGATATCGAGATCCGAGATAAACCGAGATTTTTCAAAACTTTTATTATCCACCAAAACCCATTTAAATTAATTAAATATCATCTAAATCATCATCAAAATCATCTGTTTCATCAGAATCAATTTCAGTTGGTGGACCAAGCAACAGTTTATCCATATTTGCCTTTACAACTAGAATTTTTTCCACCATTTCTCCAGAAAGAATTAAGTATAAAGGATAGGGGACACTTGTTAATTAGAAGGGGTCGTCCCGTAAAAAAAATAAATAAATAAAATTATTAAAACAATTTATAAATAATAAAAATACAAATTGAATAAATAGTAAAACTAAAACTGATGTGAGATCAAAAATATTTTTTTGCATCACCTCCAACAATAATTCTTTAAATAAAATGATTTTTTAAAATTAAATTAATTATTAAGAAATAAGTTAAGAGTTTATAAAAATATTTTTTTGAATTTCCTAAAAACAAAGAATTCTGTATTTTTCTAATTCTTTGATTGACAGAAATTTTTTTTTCAAAAATCTAAACACCTTAAATTCCTCATTCAAAACACAATAATTGTTTGCCATTTCACTACCCTTTTCAAACAATTGAAAATTAAATTCATTTGAGTTTGGTAGCCTTTCAGCAACAAGAATATCCTCTTCCATTCCCTTATCCAAATAACTGGTAGAAAAAATAATAAAAAGAATTTCTAATTTACGGGAACCTTTTAATTGTCTGAAGAAATAAATAAAGAAAGGCAAAACAACAGGTAGAATTAAGATTTTCTCGAGAAAAATATTTAAAAAGAGAATTTACTTCAATTAATTCAACTCTATTTAATTGAACTAAAAATTATTATTTTAATTTTAAAAATTTTTTTAAAAACGATTTTCATGTAGGCCAATCACTAAATGTTTAATACTGGCCAAATAAGATTGAATCCACCATTTTAGAGCTATAAATGACAAAAAGAATAAATATTAGGGATTTGTAGAAGGTGGTTTCAAATGTGATTGAAATTAGATTAAAGCGAAAAGGTAGACTGACTCAATCCTGATATACTAAATATCGTGTTGTACTAACTCAAGGAAAAGACAAGTCAAGGAACGACCAACTCAAGGAATATTTTGAAAAATCTGAATATTTTTAAAAAATTAGATTTAAAAAAGATTGAAATACTTTAAAAAACAAAATTTAAAAATAAATTCTGAAAAATTTAGATTTTTAAAAAAATACCATGAGTGGTCGTTCCTTGACCTTTTCGCTTTAATCTAATTTCAATTACATTTGAAACCACCTTCTGCACATCCCTAATATTTATTTTTTTGTCATTTATAGCCCTAAAATGGTGGATTCAATCTTATTTGGCCGGTATTAAACATTTAGTGATTGACCTACATGAAAATCGTTTTTAAAAATTTTTAAAATTAAAATAATAATTCTTTTAGTTCAATTATCAAATTTAAGTCTCTTAAATAGAAATCTATTGAGTTATCCTATAATGAAGTTCATGTCAGTTACATCTTTTAAAAAATTTTCTTAAAAAATCCTACCAAAATTCTTCAAAATTTTTATTATAAAAATTGTTGTAATATTTTTTTGTAATAAATAAAATTAAAATACTATAGGTAATTATTTGCAATTGTCTTATTTTTAAACAAACAATATTCCTTCCCTTCCCTCTCAATCAAAGGCACACACTTCGTTGTCGAATAAAAAAAATTAATTTAAAAAAATTATGATGGCGGAGTAGATTTTTGTTGAGGTTGTCCTAAAGTTGCAGCAGGACTTCCACTTAAAAGTGCAGTAAATTCATCAATACAAGCTATAATTTGATTGTTTTTATCCAAATATGAAAGCGTTTCTTCTGGCAATATTCGACGAACAGAGTCGCTAAAAAAAATTTTTTTTTGAAATTTTTAGATTGAAAAATATTAAAACAAGGGAGCATTATCCACTGTGTACAAAAATTTGGTATTATTTTTGGTACTATTCGATAGAGGACCCTCGACTTGCTATTGGGAAGTGTCCTTATTTTTCGTCCAAAAGTGACTTTAAGGACGAGTTATGGCTGGTCAAACTTTCGAATTTTGGGAGCGTTTTTGTTATACGGAAGAAAGGAGAAAACCAAAATTCTTTTGTACACACTAGACGATGTTCCCTCGCAAGAAAAAATTTCACAAAAAAAAATTAAAAAAAAAGTACCCAGGTATTAACGGCTTCCTTTCCAAACGGCATTTTCGAATTTCTACAAAAGCTTTACGAATTAGACTTGCATAAATACATTTTGACATAAATTGTTCCAAATTTGCATTCTGTTCAGGATGAATATCCATAAAATTGTAAAGGTCCTCGACAGCCTTGGAAAAATTTTTTTTTAAATTTTTTAAGAACAAAAAGAAACCCCAGAAAAAATATCATCGTCAATACGAGCAAATAACTTTTCCATTTCTTCCATAAATGGCGGTGTTCCATCCGGAGTTTTTTCATCTCCTGTAGTATTACGTTTACCAACAGCACGGACACCAGGGGTGTGCCGTTTCGTCTTTCGCCTTTCGTCTTTCGCCTTATTTTCGTCTTTTTTGGTGTTTCGTCTTTCGCCTTTCGTGTTTCGCTTTTTAAAATGACTTTCGCCTTTTCGCCTTTCGTCTTTCGCTTTTTCGGGCGAAAGGCGAAAATATTATACACCCCTAATGACAGTTATGTGAGGAAAAGTTGGTAATTAGGAGAAGAAAAGAAAGAGAAAAACTGAGAAGAGTGGGGATAAATATATAAAATTTTCTTTACTTACTATAAAGTTATTGATGGTTGAGTGGTTAAGTTGCTGGACTTTGACTAGCGTTTATTCATTATTGTTAGGTTCGAATCCGAATTTAGTGATAAGATTTTTATTTATTATAAATATAATAATAATCATAATTTTTCTTTGAAAAAATTATTTTTTTAATTTAAAAAGTGAATTTTTCGTGACTTAGACACCTTATCTTTTCAAAATTTTTGCCTGCGGCGCTGATTAATGAAGACCTCGGTATTTTATTAAAAATTTTAGTTACGGATCCGGATATCGAAATTTCCGGTTCGGACATAGGATCTGGATATCCTGGGATTTCCCAAAATCTGTTAACTATACGACGATTTCCAATGATAGGAAAAAATAAAAATTTGAATTTGCCTTATACATCCTCTGATATCCTCCTAAATCACTCTGAATCCTCTGATATCCATAATTTACCGGTTAATAAGGATATCACAAGATTAGGAGAATTTGATAGAAGATTTGAAAATAGGTAATTAACCAAAGCTTTGGTTTAACCGATATCTAGGGATTTTTCCTAATTACAGTTATTTCGCCTTTTCGTCTTTCGTCTTTCGCCATATTTTCGTCTTTTTTGGTGTTTCGTCTTTCGCCTTTCGTCTTTCGCTTTTTAAAATGACTTTCGCCTTTTCGTCTTTCGTGTTTCGCTTTTTAAAATGACTTTCGCCTTTTCGCCTTTCGTCTTTCGCCTTTTAAAATCTGTTTCGGCACATCCCTGACGGACACATCGTTTTACATAAAGAACAATATGTGAATTTTCTGGTAGATGGTCGAGGTAATTAAGTATCTTTTTAAAAAAATTGTTAAAAAAAATTAAAAATAAACCGAATATTTCTTTTTTACAACAATTCGTTGAACACAAATAAAAAGTAATTTTGAAGTCTCTTTAACAGAAGCATCTGAATCATGTCCCTCATTTGTTGTAATATAAAATCGTGTAATGTAAGTATTTATATGTTCCAATAATGTGGGAATATCAATCTGAAAAAATAAAAAGGTAAAGAATAAAATTTGGGGTCGGAACTAGTATTATTCACGGTACCGTATTACGGCGGTATTTTTCGGTAATACCGCAGTATTTTTACCGAAATACCGATACCGAATACGGTACCGAACAATTTTAAAAAAATCGGTATTTTTTCGGTATCGGTATTTTACTGAAAATACCGATACCGAAAAAACGCGTTTGAATAACACTAGTCGGAACCAAGGGCGTATCCAGGGGGTCGGTTTCGGGGGGGGGGGGGGGGGGCTAACACTGGGTGGGCGCAAAAATTTTTGGCGTTTACCTTGGCGCTCTGGACGCAACTTTTTTTGTACATAAAAATTCACTTATCCAGCGCCGCAGGCGAAAATTTTTTGAATTTTGGAAGACCGTAGGCAAAAAAATTCACTTATTCAGCGCCGCAGGCGAAAATTTTTTGGAATTTGGAGCCCAAGAAGCCAGATTTCTTCTTTTTTTAGCGCCGCAGGCGAAAATTTTCGACCATCCTTCTCCTAATTTTTCCCCCTTTCCCCCATTTCGGGGGGGGGGGGGGGGGGGGGGGGCTCTAGCCCCCCCCCCTGGATACGCCCTTGGTCGGAACGCCAAAGTTTTCGAAACGTCAAAGAAATTTGGAAGAAATTTTGGAAGAAAATTTCGGATCCTATCCAGATTTTTCCCAACTTATAACTTCCCTTTACACCCCCAATTATAGCCCGGTGAAATCGACCACTGGTCTTGGCATTGCGTCTTTTAATTAAAAAGGTTCAAGGACATCTCGATGAACAAGTCTTCTCTGGCGTGTAAAATTAACTCGGCAATAAAATTAGAAAAGGTGACAAAGTCAGTGTGGGTGTACCAAATGAACGCACTTATCGGGAAAAAATTTTTATTAGAAAATTCACAAACCATATCAACAATTGCTGGATCTGTAAGAGTTTCAGTTCGTTTAATCATACATTTACGAAGTAATTCCAAAATCTTTCCTTTAGGTTCAGCTGCTTGGTATTTCATAATTAACTTCATCAAAGCCAAAAAACAAACACTTGGATGAGTAAATTCACAAAGACGAATAACAACAACATTTAATGAACGAAAAACCTGAAAAAATTTAAGTTTTTGAACAAAAAAAGTAATTAAATTAGAGCAATCCAAGACTATTAGTCTTGACTCAAGCTTTTTTGTGCTTTTGAAAACTTAATGAACTTTTCAAAAATTTGTCCTATTGAACCAAACAAGTGTCTCGAATCTTATTAATGTTTGGTTTTCAAGTCTTTGGTCTTGAACCAAATCGTGGACACGAGTCTAGAAAACATCCACTCTTAAATATCTTTACAAAATATTATTCAAAATATAAACCTGATCTTTAAATCCAGAAAGTCGTTGATCACATACTAACGACAAAATTGCTTCTATAAATCCACGTAAAGTATCAGCACTAATTCTTTTCATTATATGAGTTTCATTTGTTAACTTAAAAAATATTTTTTAATAAAAAAATTTAAGAAGAAAAAAACCGTAGAAAGAAAATTACAAATCGAACGCAAAAATTCATTTAGATCATTCTCTTTAGAAAAATTTTGTTCGTCTCGGTTTGATTCTTTACCAGATTCTAGTTGTTCAAGATGTTGACTTCGAATATGAAAAACTTGTGTGACAATCTAAAAAAGTACAAGATTCATAAAAAATTTTTAAAGTTTTAAACCATTTTTAAAATAAGCTCTGATCTATCAATTATATACTGGCGATTATTTGGATCATTCAATAAATGCAACAACTAAAAAATTTTTTATTTATGAATTTAAAAAAAGATTTAAAATAAGGAATTGAATTGTGGAGCCCCTTAAAATAAAATTTGTTCCCTTTTTACATCGTTTGGTTAAGTGTAATTTAGAAAAAATCTGGCGGGTATGGATAAACCAGAGGTCTGTGGTTCGAGTCCGCTTGTTGTAAACTTTCTTGTTTTTGCTTTTTAAATAGCTATATTTGTAAAATAAACAAATATAAGGTATTTTCGAGCTATTGGAATTTTTATCGAACCTTAATGTGAAAAAAGAAAAAATTAAACCTGCGCAATAGCTTCATCAGCAATGCTTAATTGTAAACAAGAGACATTATGAACAGCTCGATCAATATATTCAGTACTTTCTAGCGAAGAAATAGAAGATACAGATTCACTACGTCGGGAGAATGTGCTTACAGGGCGAATTACAGGCTTCTAAAAATTTAAATTAAAAATTTCAAAAATTAAAAAAATATATACAATTGGTTGTAAATCTTGTTGATCAATACTACTTCCACTTGGCTGAACATTTCGATTTGCCAAAACACCTCGTTCTGGTTGCCCCACATCATTTTTAGTAAATGTCGAGTTTAAACTGGTGGATTGATTTGCTCCTCCAGAATTAACCACTAGAGTCCTTCCAGCGTCGTCAAAATCATTTTGAAAGAATTTAGGATCCAATTGAAAACGACCACCAGTCTTTAAAAAATTAAAAAAAATTCAAATTAAATAAAAAAGAAAGTTTAAACCTGATTCAATGCCGAACTTAAAGCAGCATGTGAATGAGCAGAAGAAAGACCCGTAGCTGTAACGTTATGTGAACGACGAGGAGCACGAACATTAGTGTTGTTATTATCATCTGCTCCAGCTAACATCATTGAGTTATTTCCGGGTAAAGCCAAGTCCAAAGGGCGTCGAGGTCTTTAAAAAAGGACATTTTAATAAATTAAAAAATAGAAAAAAAACCCGCTCGCAGAACGCGCTCTAATTGTTGAATTTGGTTGTGAACTCGAATTTTGCATTCTAGAGTTGAGACGGCTAGTAGACATATCTCGAGTTGTTTGTGGACGATTTGCAGATTTTGGATCAAATGCTCCTGTCCGCTTAATTCGTTCATCAAGCATTGCGCGTTCTTTTTCCCCAAGCTGTCCAATTAAAGAGAAAATTTTGTCTCGATCACAACCCATTCCTCGATAAACAGTAATTATAGCATTCAGTGCCGCGTTACGTACAGCAGCATCTCTTTCAGAAATACAAGCACCAAAAGTACGCATAGTTATTTGTGGTGTTGTTGTTATTGAAAGACCCATGATCTTTAAAAAAATTAATTCAAAAATATATAAGTAGTAGTAAGAAGCGGGGTTATTCACTCTAAACGCAACACAAGCCGGAACAGAAAAGCCGAAGTTCCTAGACATTTAACCGGAATTGTAAACTAGTAGGTCGAAAATTGGACCCAAAATCGCCTAAGGATGTCCCTGACTGATTTGGGCTTTAAAGATAAATCCCCTGAGGATGCCGTTACCAGTCAATAAATGAAAGTGAACAAACTTATTGAAGTAAGAACCAAAACAAACCTCTATTAATGAATCAGCAATTACCAATCCCTCAGCTTTTTGTCTCGAATTTTTAGTTTTTAAACTATCAAGAATAAGTGGAAAAATTTTTGACGGGACAGAAATTGAATTGAGTACATGTACAATTTTACGAACTTGATTTCTAATTAAATCTTTTGAATCACCACACTAAAAATTTTTTTTAATTTACAAAAATAAAAATTAAAAAGAAAACCTTCAAAAGTAAATAAGGCAAAAAAGATTGCATTTCCAAATCATTCAAACCTTCATTCATTGCTTCCATTTGTGTAAATACAGCAAGTATAAATTCTAATACCTTGATTAAAACTGAAGGGTTTGTATCAAAGAAACGCAAAGTTGACCATTTGAGAAGGAGATCAATATTGTTTATAATACATTCTGGTGAAGCTGCATGAACCTACATAAAAGGGTTCCGTGACTTTTGCGCCGGGGGACTTTTGCGCCGAGTGACTTTTGCGCCGGGGGACTTTTGCGCCGGGCGACTTTTGCACCGCGACTTTTGCGCCGGACGACTTTTGCGCCGCTACTATCATTAATAATTATGAAAAACTACAGCCGGACCTCACTATAGAAGATGTAGGATAGTTGTGGATCTTCGGATATGAAGAAAATTTTCGGCTATTCGGACTTTTTCAAATCCGGATATCTGGATCCGACAACCCTACACTATAGTGCACCCTCTTCTGGCAAAAAATCATGCCTGAATAGGGGTAGCAGACCAAATATCCTGATCCGAAAAAGTCAAGTTCTTTGAAGATGACCCCTCTAGGGGGTCGGTTTATTATAGAAGGCTATTGTACTTCCCGAAATATTGTACTTCCTAAAATTCCTTCAGCTCCTGGATACCATTTTTTAATGAGTACACTATAATTAGGTCCGACTGTAGGTATTTTTTTTAATTATGGCGGCGCAATTGTCGCGGCGCATAAGTCGCCCGGCGCAAAAGTCGCGGCGCACAAGTCGCTCGGCGCATAAGTCGCGGCGCAAAAGTCGCGGCGCAAATGTCGCGGCGCAAAAGTCGCCCGGCGCATAAGTCGCGGCGCAAATGTTCTCGGCGCAAAAGTCGTGATACACACAAAAGGACAAAAATAAAGTTGAAAATGTTTACAGGCCCTAAAAGAGTCGACATTGTTATAAGATACACTCTGGGGAATTTTTTTCATCGATAAATTCCACAACCGTCTGCTTAAACTTCCGATATTCCTACAAATTCTACTTAATTCCCCGATATCCCTTAAACACCTGTTATCCTTCCAAACCCCTTATATCGCTTAAAAAACGTAATAACGAATTCTGCAACACAATAAATCCAACCCACAAAAATCCTAAACTGATGTGAGGTGTATCTAGCATTGAGGGTATCTTATAAAGAGGCTCGCTTGAAAAAACAAATAATTTCACACAAACCTCATTAAGATATTCAATAGCTTTAATTTGTTGTTTAAAATCCTTATTAAACAACTGTCCAGTCAACGGAGGTTTTGTCACAGAAGTCAAGGAATTAGTTAATTGTTCTAAATGTTCTGCCGTAGGTGTGTCAAAGTTCCATTTTAAAGTCTATAGAAAAATTTTCAAAATTTAAAAACAAATAAAATATTAAAACAACCTTAAGAGCCTTTTCCTCTTTAAGTCGCAAAGCCCTATCACTTTTAAATAATAACAAAAATTCAGGTTCCGAATCTTCAACTTTTGGCTCAACTTTGGGCTGTTCAGGTTTCTGTTGTTGTTTAGAATTTTTAACAGCTTTCTTCTGGTTGGTTTGTTGAACTTGAGTAGAGGCATCATCTTCAGACTGTAAAATATAAAAAAATCAGATAGAACCTAAAACTATCCACGACTGGATAATCTTTGCCTGTAGCGACTCAAAGGAATTTCATTGACTTTTGAGCCTCATAGGCAAAAATTACCCGAACGTAAACAATCCTCATAGAAAATTTAGTAATATACAAAAAACACAAAAATATAAACCAAAAAAAGGAAAAAAATATATTTACATTCTCAACAGAATCAGGAACAGATTCGGGTTTATTGTTAGAAGCAGCAATTGTCGGTTTAGTAGTATTGTTCTGCACTTTAGCTTTGTTTTCAACAGCCTTTTTGACATTAGGAGGTGGTGGTGCTGCAACGACAGACTTTACAGACTACACAAAACAAAATTACACAAATTATTAAAAGTCAAGAAAAATAAAACCTCAATTTTGGCACTAGGACATTCAGAAATGGCCTTTTCACGATATTCAGCAATCTAAAAAACTATTGAAAATAAAAATCATATTTAAATAAACCTTTGACATTTTTGTGGAATCCTTAACAATTTCAGCACCTAGGAAAACTGCAAGTGCACTTTCACCGATACATTTTTGTATAGCACCCAATGCAGCACAAGAAGCATCACGAACTTCTGGATCGGAGTCAGAGGCGTGCTAGAGATTGAAATTAATGCTGAAAATTTTTTAAGGAGAATACTTACATTAGTCAATGACGCAACCAAATCCTTTAAAAGCCCTTTAGGAATATCCTTGCTGTTAAGCGACCGAAATGTTCTGTAGATGAAATGATCAAGTTGAGATTTCTGGCTTGGATTGGGCTTTTTAGCTGCTTCCAAAATACTAGCTGAGAGGTTGTTTAAAGTCTAAATAAAAAATAAGCCGATAAAAACCTTGGAATTTTTTAAAATTCTATTCCTCATGAACAAATCTCGTGGCCCAACTTAACGTCCATCTGGCATAAAAATAAGACAGAGAAAAGGACAAGTGGACCGGATTCTGAACTTGCTCCTAAGTCTGAAAACCAGTCATTTTTAACAATCTATAGTAAAGTGGGCACGGTAAGTTTGACCTCCTCCCATAAAATCTAAATATTATAATAACCGTGGTAGCATAAACAGCGTCAATTAATTCAATCAAAGGATCACGAAGATGAGGCTTCTTCTCTTTGAATTTGTCAAATATAATTGGAGATAATGAAGCTGTATGAGGTCCAAATTTGTTGCGTAATCCTTTAGCCATTCCAGTAAGACATTTAGCAGCAACAGCAGCACAATTAATATTTGCGTCAGATTTGAGAACCTAAAGAATAAAAATATTATCTTCGGAAAAAGAGCAAATCTTGGAAAAAGGGGGAGAATCATGAAAAAAATATAAATAAAAAAAATCGAAAACCTTTGTAAGCTTATCAATCAAATCCCCATAATCCGGGTTGTCCGCCAACTTTGGATTTTCTAACAAAATGCCATGAACTAAATCCAATACAGCTTTTCTTTCTTGCCACTTCTTACTAGCCAATTGAGTGTCTAAATCACCCGGAAGTTTTGGAATAATGTCAACAGGGTCCAAAAGTTCAAAAGGATCAATTTGCTGTGGTTGTGGTTCGGGGACACTTTGTTGTTGATGATTTGTGTTTGTAGATATTTGCTGTTGACATTGTTGAGAGGATGCTGCAGAAGCACAATTATTCTCGGAGGCTTGCTAAAAATGAACAATTGAAAGGAAAAGGAGAAAGTATAAAAACCTTTTGACTTTCAGCTTCAACGACAGCCTTTTCACGATATTCAGCAATCTAGAATGTTGTTGAAAAATATAAATTTTATTTAAACAAACCTTTGACATCTTTGTGGAATCTTTAACAATTTCAGCACCTAGGAAAACTGCAAGTGCACTTTCACCGATACATTTTTGTATAGCACCCAAAGCAGCACACGAGGCATCACGAACCTCAGGATCGGAGTCAGAGGCATGCTGGAGAAAAAATTGTGAATGAAAATTTTTGGGCTCTTTTTCAGGAGGGTTATGTCCTATCCAACGAACTTTTAACAGTATAAACTTACATTAGTCAATGACGCAACCAAATCCTTTAAAAGTCCTTTAGGAATATCCTTGCTGTTAAGCGACCGAAATGTTCTGTAGATGAAATGATCAAGTTGAGATTTCTGGCTTGGATTGGGCTTTTTAGCTGCTTCCAAAATACTGGCTGTGAGATTGTTTAAATTCTAAATAAAAGAAAAAGATAAGGTAACAAAAATCTAAATAATAACCGTGGTAGCAAAAACAGCGTCAATTAATTCAATCAAAGGATCACGAAGATGAGGCTTCTTCTCTTTGAATTTGTCAAATATAATTGGAGATAATGAAGCTGTATGAGGTCCAAATTTGTTGCGCAATCCTTTAGCCATTCCTGTAAGACATTTAGCAGCAACAGCAGCACAATTAATATTTGCGTCAGATTTGAGAACCTTCAAAAATATTATAAGCCAAAAATAGTTTAAAAACCTTTGTAAGCTTATCAATCAAATCTCCACAATCTGGGTTATCAACCAATTTTGGATTTTTCAACAAAATTTCGTGAACAGCATCTAATGTAGTTTTACGTTCCTGCCACTTTTTACTTGCCAAATTTGTGTCTAAATCAGCAGGAAGTTTTGGAATAATGTCAACAGGTTCCAAAAGTTCAAAAGGATCCATATCTTTAAAATAGATTTTCTGCTAGAATAAAATATAAAAAATAAAATTTCAAAAAATAAGCGAGAAAAAACAAATATATCTTTTATCGATTTACTTGCCAAGGACAAATTTATGAGAATTAGCGGCGCAAAAAAACTAGGGCAAAATTTACAAGAGGTTAAAATTTACTTCTTTAAAGTTCCGCGATTATATGACTCGAAGGACGATTAGACGCGAGCTCTTAGAAGTAGCCTATTTAATCGCGGCCACTTAAACGCACTTAGGGCGTGCAATTGTTCTATAAAGTGCGCGGGAATCTGGCACATTTCATGGGCTATTCTTTGGGGGTCTCGTATTTTTTTTCTGTAAGAACAGATTGTAGATGCCAATGTGTTTACTTAAATCTTGACAAAATTATTTTTATCAATTTTAACAATTTAACTTTTTACCACAATGAAACTTGCGGAATTTTTTTCGTTTAAATTTTTTGGGGTTTTTAATGGAGAAAATTTTTGTTTTTTAAATTTTTTTTTCTATTTTTGATTCTTTAACTTCACCCCCATAACATTATCTAATTTCTCTTAAGAAAGTGATAAGAATAAGAAACACCCATTTTATAAGAAACACCATTTCTCATTTAATTTTTATTCTCGAAGTATATTGATTTTATTTGCAGTTTTCGGTCATTCATTTCATATATATTTTTGATTATATATTAAATATGTACATTTATAGAAATTAGTTTCCTTTTATTAAATTGATCAATCAAAACTTTTTTCTTCGTGTCTTTAAATATTTTAGATTTCTAAAGAAAATTTTTTTGAAATTAATTTTGAATAAAACTAATGATAGTGGATTCTCCAACTCCTCCTCAAACTCAGGTATAATTTAGAAATAAACCAAAATAATATCTTTCAAAAATTCAGGATGTCTCTTTATTTAGAAGGCCAAAAGTTTATATTATTGGTGTTGGAATGACAGCGGTATTTTATTTTTAAGAATCTTTTATTTCTAAATTGAATCATTTTCAGTTCACAAAGCCGCTTACATCTGGCAAGGATTATCCAGAATTGGTTAAAGAAGCAGGTAACTTTTTTTAACTTTGTTTTAACCAAGCCTCCTTATAAATCGCCCTCGGGGTAGAAGAAACAATTTTATAAGGAGGTATTTTTTAAATTGGGTGTAGCTCGTAATGAGGTTTCTCTTAGATAGAGGGTATTTTATGGTTAGGTTTCTCTTAAATAGGGGTATCTTATACATAATTTGTTTTTTTTTTAAATTTTTTTCTTAATTCTAAAAATAATTTTTTAGTTGGCGAAGCTTTGAGTGATGCTGGTGTAAGATATGAACAAATTCAACAAGGTTTGGGCTTTGAAGCTATTTTTAACAATAAAAAATTAATTTTTAAAGCAACCGCTTCCTACATGTATGGAGGATCTTGTTGCGGTCAAAGAGCATTATATGAAATCGGATTGACAGGAATACCTATATTTAATGTTTTTTTTGTTTAAAAAATTTTTTAGAAATATTTTTTATTCAAGTTAAATAATGCCTGTGCAAGTAGTTCCAGTGGAATATTTCTTTGTAAACAAATTATAGAAAGTGGAAATATTGATTTAATGCTTGCTGTTGGGTTTGAAAAGGTTTTCCTTTTAAAATTTTATGGAGGCGGATCTCTTTATAAGATTCACCTTAATATTGAATACACCTCTATTTTAGAGACGCTTTTTAAAAATAAGGTTGGCCACTTGCTCTGAGGAAGCTGCCTAACCGATTTTTATTTAAGATACCTCATTATAATAGGGTGCAGATATCGATATCAGACTGTTTATACTTAAAATCGGGAGATAAGCCGAGGTCCTCACATCTTAATTTTTATGGATACAGAGGCAAGAATAGAACATTTTTCAGTGTTTCTTAGTGTTTACTTTACTTGGCTTATTGATCTGGTTGGGCCAAAATCAATTTAGGTCACGATTTCTTTTAATTTCCGATCCCTCTTAAAATCTCAATAAAACTTCCTCAAAAAATCAATTTAAGAAAAGATATTTAATATTTAAGAAAAAACTTTCAAAAATTGTTAACCTTTATTCGGAAATCCTTTTCCAAACCCAATATTTTTGTATTGAGTTTTAATCTTAAAATTAAACTAAAATAATCTAAAATAAAAAAAACTTCCAAATGTTGACCATTTGAAGAAATACAATCAATTTCTGCCCCATAAAATAAATTAAATTTATTTAAATTTGAAGAATTTGATAAATTTGAGGGAGGATTGAGAGTTGCTTAAAAATTAAAAACTTCTAAATAATTGAAAGAGTTTTTGATATAAAAGGGAAGGATAGGAGAGAAATCTGGATTATCGAAATTTTAGAGATATCGAGACAAGATTTGAGGGAGGAATGTAGGAACCTTTTTCGAGGTTGTCTTTTTAAATTTTTTATAAAGCAGACACGTAGCCAGGATTTTTTTCGTGGGGTGTCAAGGGTGAAAATTTTAATGAGCAAATTTTGACTTTTAGCGCCAAAGCGAAAATTCTGAAAAATTTGGAAGGCTGCTTTACCTGAAAGTAAATCGGCTGTGGTGTAGTGTACCGGTGGTAAGAGTTCGGGACGAGACATATGTCATTCGATTCGTCTCGGCGAGCTGAGTCGAACGGTACCACTCCCAGTTTCAGGAAATGATTCTGGACCGAGTTATAGGTCCCGAAAAATCGAAAAATCAAAGGGGGGACCAAGCACTTTTTTGGGGTGAAAAATTCGAATATGCAAATTATAACTCATTTGAAAGAGCTCTTCAAGCTGAGTCGAATGACACCAAAATCAACGAAATCCGACTTGATTGGACTGAGATACAGACCCCTAAAAATCGAAGATCCAAAGGGGCGATTTTTGGAATAAAAATTTTTTATACAAATAATACCTCATTCGAAAGAGCTCGACGAGCTGAGTCAAATGACACCAAAATCACCGTGATTGAACAAGATTAGACAAAGTTATGATACAAAAAACAAAAACCTAAACCTATGGAGCGTCGGCGAGGCGCTTGTGCAAAACCCCGCGCTTCGCGCGGGGTTTTGCGGCACGCGCCTCGCGGGGAGTCTACGGGCGCTGGGTCTGGGCTCGTAACATAAGCCTATTCCTATCTCCCTTGCTCTGGACGTATTTGTGGCCTCCGTAGCAGCAAAAAACTTCACAGATGCCATAGGTAAGGAGCTAAAATAAAAGATCATAACTTTGTCCAATCAAGTCGGATTTCGTTGATTTTGGTGTCATTCGACTCAGCTTGAAGAGCTCTTTCAAATGAGGTATAATTTGCATATTCGAATTTTTCACCCCAAAAAAGTGCTTGGTCCCCCCTTTGGTTTTTCGATTTTTCGGGACCTATAACTCGGTCCAGAATCATTTCCTGAAATTGAGAGTGGTACCGTTCGACTCAGCTCGCCGAGACGAATCGAATGACATATGTCTCGTCCCGAACTTTTACCTCCGGTGAACTACACTACAGCCGGAATAGGTTTATGTTACAAGCCCAGACCCATCGCCCGTAGATTCCCCGCGAGGCGCGTGCCGCAAAACCCCGCGCGAAGCGCGGGTCCTAAATCGAGCTTACTCCCCCTATGGTTTTTCAATTTTTCGGGACCTATAACTCGGTCCAGAATCATTTCCTAAAGTAGGGAGTGGTACCATTCGACTCAGCTCGTCGAGACGACATATGTCACGTCCCGAACTTTTACCACCGGTACACTACACTATATCCAGTAAATCAGCTGAACCCATCCCAAAAAATAGCAAAAATTTAATAAGTAATTATTTTTTCAATGGTTATCCAATAAAAAATATTTTAAAAATATTTTAAAAATATTTTTGTCGGTAATTTTTGCCTATTTTCTCAAATAAAGTACCGGATCATTGATTCAAAAAAGGCAGAGCTGGTACCTATGGCCATAAATAAAGATTTGTAACATATCTTTAAGTCTAACCATTTTTCCACCTGTGGAAGGAAAGAAGAGGGGAGGTACGAAGTTCAATTTTACCACCGTTTTATCTTTTAGAAAGGAAAATATAAAATAATTGATATTTAGCTCAATATGACTGGTACAATCTTTTTAATAACAAAAATTCTTCAGAAATGACCGAAATATTAAATTCCATAATAACCCAATCAATTAAAAAATTCATCCCGTAAAAAAATAGGAAAAATTCCGTCATATCACCCGGAAACCGATTCGGACAAATGATATGTCATTTGAAAGAACTCGCCGAGCTGAGTCGAAAGAAACCAAAATTAGCTTCGGGACTCACCTATGGGACGAGATATAGGCCCCCGAAAATCGAAAACCCATAGGGGGGAGTAAGCTCAAATTTGGGATGAAAAATTCGATTTTTTGAATGATAGCTCATTCGAAAGAGCTCCTTGAGCTGAGTCGAATGACACCAAAATCAGCTCGAGATCTTGATTCTGAGCCGAGATAAAGAGGCTCAAAATGGTCAACGTAAACCTATGGGGCGTCGGCGAGGCGCTTGTGCAAAACTCCGCGCTTCGCGCGGAGTTTTGCGGCACGCGCCTCGCGGGGAGTCTACGGGCTCCGGGTCTGGGTTCGTAACCTAATCCTATTCCAATTATCGCCGTGATGGGCATGCCCGGCTTCCTCCGCAACAGTAAAAACTCCACGGATGGCATAGGTAAGGAGCTAAAAAATTCGATCATAACTTTGTCCAATCTTGTTAGATCGCGATGATTTTGGTGTCATTCGACTTAGTTCGACGAGCTCTTCCGAATGAGGTATTATTTGCATATTCGAATTTTTCACCCCAAAATTGAGCTTACTCCCCCCTATGGTTTTTCGATTTTCGGGGACCTATATCTCGGCCCATAGGTGAGTCCCGAAGCTAATTTTGGTGTCGTTCGACTCAGCTCGACGAGATCTTTCGAATAACATATCATTTGTCCGAATCGGTTTCCGGGTGATATGACGGAATTTTACCAAAAAATAAATAAAATTATTAAAATAATTTATAAATACAAAATACAACTTGGATAAATAGTAAAACAAAAACTGATGTTATGTCCTAGAGTAGCGGTCTTACCTAGTGACAAACAGAATAACACAGGCATAGAATATAACGTTTATCCGAATGGTAAATACAACAATAGTGAAGGTGGCAAAAGGCAAGAATGAATAAGGACAGACGGCGCCGGTCGACCCAGGTGTCGACCGAGACTGATCGCTAACGACTCCTTTTATAGTAGACCCACACATACCTAACATCTCCCTCCTTTAAAAAGTTAGGGACTAACTTGAATAATTTGCTACTGAATTGAATTGTTAGGTTGGGTCCGAATAAAATAACTTCTCGAATTGAATGACTGAATAACACCGCCTTGAATACAATGGGACAAAAATTACAAACAATGGGGTAAAACAAAACAAAAAATTTACAACAAACAAAAAATCACAATTATCACAAAACGTCCCAAAAAACCTCTCATCAACATCTATCTTCTAAACATCAAACCAAAGCAGAGGCACATCGAATAATCTGAATCAACCCAATACTGGGTAGGGATTTTCACTAATTCCCTGAATAATACTGCCCTATTTTCTACTACTTGGGCGAAACTAAAGATGGCATTTTGACTTACTTCTAAATTCTCTCTAATAATCTGAATAACTGAATAATCTCTCAATCAAACTGAATAATGCCATATGAATTCATCAATGGAGCGAATACTAACATTTTATCTTCAAACTTCTCTTGAGCGACTAAATAATTGACTCAGACTTGAATAATACTTGACCGTCTTACGTCCACTTGACCGACTTACTGATTGCGGCCTTGAATAAACAATAATCGGGACTTACATCTTGCCCATGACTGCGGTTCCTCATATAATCAAAATACTGAATACAACTTGCTCCTTCACTCTGCTCCTGATGATCAAGCTCGAATTCATCGAATAATCTTCTAAACAAAATATCAAACTTCTGGACCGAATAATAACAACTCTTCTCAAAGCTCGAATTGGTCCGAATAAAATTGACTAAGGTTTGCTAGGCCTTGTCGAATAGATGAATTCGATCGGCTTGAATGCCTGCCACACTTCAACTGACACCGTCTCCTCTGAATAAGAATCTGATGTGCTCTGCGAATCTCCGAATAATCCGAATACTTCCCCCGAATTTGAATAATCCGAATAATGTCCGAATTGTGAATCAAAAGATTCACTACTGCGACCGCGCCACTGTTATGTCCTAGAGTAGCGGTCTTACCTAGTGACAAACAGAATAACACAGGCATAGAATATAACGTTTATCCGAATGGTAAATACAACAATAGTGAAGGTGGCAAAAGGCAAGAATGAATAAGGACAGACGGCGCCGGTCGACCCAGGTGTCGACCGAGACTGATCGCTAACGACTCCTTTTATAGTAGACCCACACATACCTAACAACTGACGTGAGATCGAAAATTTTTTTGCATCACCTCCAACAATGATTCTTTAAATAAAATGATTTTTTTAATTAAATTAATTGTTTAGAAATTTATGAAAATATTTATTTTGAATAATTGATACTTTTCGGTTATCTCCCCCACATTTTCTTCTCTTTTATTTCATTTCTGCTTCATATGAATGTTACACGATTGACAAGGTGGATCATTTTACAAGCTATACCGATTAGTACCTAAGTTGCTTTTTATAACTAATAGTCCGGTATTGTGTGTGCACCTTAACTCGGTGGCTCTCTATTCCTATAAAAGATTAGCTGTAGTATCCGGTGGTAAGATTTCGATACAAGACATATATATACCATTCGATTTGTCTCGACTAGCTGAGTCGAAGTAACACTTTTTTCCGGAGATGCCTGCGGACGGAGCTATAGCTCCCCGAAAATCAAAAACCATAGGGGGGGGGAGTAAGCACAATTTTGGGGCGAAGAATTCGATTTTTTGAATGATAGCTCATTCACCAAAATTAATTGAATCTTTGCCTTTGATAATTTTGTGAAGTAGAAAAAGAAATAAAAATATGGGGAGATAACCGATAAACACCGAATAATTTCCGGAAAACAAAGAATTAAAAATCTCTAGATTTGACAGAAAAACATTTTAAAAATATAAACACCTTAAATTCCTCACTCAAAACACAATAATTGTTTGCCATTTCACTACCCTTTTCAAACAATTGAAAATTAAATTCATTTGAGTTTGGTAGCCTTTCAGCTACAAGAATATCCTCTTCCATTCCCTCATCCAAATAACTGAGAAAAAAATAATAAAAAGAATTTCTAATTTTACGGGGAACCTTTTAATTGTCTGAAGAAATAAATAAAGAAAAGCAAAACAACAGGCAGAATTTAGATTTTCACGAGAAAAATATTTAAAAAGAGAATTTACTTCAATTAATTCAACTCGGTTTAATTGAACTAAAAGGAATTATTATTTTAATTTAAAAAAATTTTTTAAAAACGATTTTCATGTAGGCCAATCACTAAATGTTTAATACTGGCCAAATAGGATTGAATCCACCATTTTAGGGCTATAAATGACAAAAGGAATAAATTAGGGATACGAGAAAGTGCTTTTAAAAAGTGATTAAAATTAAAATATAAAGTGAAAGGCCAAACTGAAAAATCCCTGATAAATGTGCCGAAAATCGTATTACCGTAAATGCTCGAATAATTACCCTGGGAAATTATTGTTTCGACATTTTTATTAGGGAGTAATTAATCGAGAGGAGGTGACAAATTTGGGGTATATCTCAATAAATCGAGGAGGAAATCTATTTATTTTTTGATATTGTGTCTTAAAATGTTAAAATAATTAAAAATGACAATGATTTTTTGAATATTTTTAAAATTTGTGTGGGAAAAGTGTGGGTAATTATTAAAGGGTGTAATTATTTGGGTGAGAGTAATTATTCAAGCATTTACGGTAGTTATATATCAAATTTTAATTAATCCTAAATTTGTTCCAATAATTTGTTGAAAATTTTTGATTAAATAGCTTTGAATTTACAAAAAAATATTCAATCTATGCAGATAATATCGATATAAAACTATTTACTACTTAAAATTTAGAGATAAGCCTGGACATCTTGATTTTTATGGATCCGGAGGCAAGATTAAAACATTTTTCAGTATTTCTTGGGTTTTCTTCCAAAAAATTGGTTGGACCCTTAATCAATTTAGGTCACGATTTGATTTAATTTCCTATTCCTAATAAAATCCAAATGAAATTTCCCTCAAAAAATCAATTTAAGACTTCAAAAATTATTAACCTTTATTCGGAAATCCTTTTCCAAACCCAATATTTTTGAATTGAGTTTTAATCTTAAAATTAAAAAAATAATTTTAAATAAAAAAACTTCCAAATGTTGACCATTTGAAGAAATACAATCAATTTCTGCCCCATAAAATAAATTAAATTTATTCAAATTTGAAGAATTTAATAAATTTGAGGGAGGATTGAGAGTTGCTTAAAAATTAAAAAAATTTTTAAAATTGAGAGAATAGTAGAGAAATCTGGATTATCGAAATTTTAGTGATATCGAGACTTGTAGGAAAATTTCTTTCGAGGTCGTCTTTTTAAATTTTTTTTATAAAACAAGCCCGTAGCCAGGATTTTTTTCGTGGAGTGCCAAGGGGGGAAATTGAAAAATTTTTGGCGCTGTAGGCAAAAAGTTCGATTTTTCGCGCCACAGGCAAATATTTTGAAAAATGTAGAAGGCCGTTCAGCCGTTCCTGAATGTAAGGCAGCTGAACCCATCCCAAAAAATGACAAAAATTTAATAAGTAATTATTTTTTCAATGGTTATCCAATAAAAATATATTTAGAACTATTTAAAAAATATTTTTGTCGTTAAAAATAAAAATTTAAATATTATTTTAAATAATTTTTGGAATAATTTAAAAATAAATTGTTTAAAATTAGCCAAAAACCTTTAAATATTCCAACAAATTCAGAATTTAAATCAACATTTTGGGAAGTATTTGGTTTCATATTTAAATCTTCAACAGTCACAATTTGTTCAAATTTATGCCCAGCAAAACACATTTTCTCTTCATAATCAGTTTTTGAATTTTCGTTTTTAATTTTTGTTTTAGTATTTAATTCTCTAATGAAATAAACTCCTAAATTTTAAAATAAAATTTTAAAGCCTGTACCTATTCCTGGACTCTGGGTTCGATTTATTGACCTGGGCCGGATCTTTGGCCTGTAGTCCAGGAAAAGCCTAGGAAGGTCAAAAAATGCCTAGGTCTGGACTCTGGGTAAAGTAAAAACCCAGGCTCTGGCCAGACCCTGCTCGATCTCTATTATTTAGGGTTGCCGTTTCGAGTCGTTCAAGGCATTTTTTCGGGCTAGTTTCTTTTATCGAGTTGGGCCATGCGAGTCGTTTTTGGGCCAAATATCCTATTCCCAACTCGTCCTTTTGTGCAGAATCGGTCCCACTTTGACAGCCCTAATTCCAATGAAAGATTATAAAAAATTATTATATTTAAAAATAAAATGTTATAGTGCGAGTACGGCTAAAATCACTCCTATCAATATGTCCTTAAGTTTCTACACCTATTATAATTAAAAATTAAATTCCCTCACAAAAATAAATTTTCTCCCAAAAAAATAAATTTTCAATAAACACCTTTAAATTTACAACAAGCAACTTTTACACCAACAGAATTTGGCCCATTATCATAACAGGAAAACATTAATCTAGTTATTGTCCCTCTCCAAACAATAAAATCACATTCGTGAATTGACTAAAATAATTTTTTTTGTTTTTAAAAAATATAAGAATGTTTTATAAAATTATTGAGGGGGTTCTTCAAAAAGTTAGGCAAAATATCAATTTAACTGACTACAATTTTTATTTTTTTTCAACTTTTTGATAATATAAGGGTGGGGTAAGGGAGAAGAACTATATGAATTTACGGCCTATCCATAGCAATAAAAGGTAAAAATGTCCGAGACCAAAAATTTTCCAAGACTCAAGACTAGACCCCAAGACCAAGACAGAAAAAACCCCAAAAAATGTCTCGGAATCAAGACCCAAGACCAAGAGTCTCGGACATCTCCAATAGAAAGTATTTGAAAAATCTTTATTAGATACTATCCTATATATTCTTACGTGTGGCATTAGATTATCAAAATGGTAACCAAAGTCTTTATTTTCAAAAATTTTTGTCTTTATTTTAATTTATCTCGAAAATTTTTCCATATATGTATTGTCAATCTAATTATATTCCCCTAATTTTTACTATAATTTGTCCAAAGCCCTTAATTCTTGCCCAAATTCACCAATTTATTTTTTATTCAAAAACCTTTTTTAACGAACTATTCGGCACAGATATAGCCAATATCCACCTCATCAAAACAAGCAAACCTTCGTCTTCTTTCTCCTCTTTTTTAAATTTATCAAATCCTTGTGTTAATTTTGTTGAAATTTTTGTTTTGTTGCAATTACCCAAAGAAGCTTCATAAAAATAACGAGCTTGAGAACGTCCAGGAGAGGGAAGACGAGATTTATCGAGAGAAAATTCGCCAATACAAGCTAAGCAAAAATAATTCTGGGTGAATTTGGTAATAGTTTGGAATTCGCCCCCCCTACCTTTTTTTCAACTTTTCCCTGAACATTTTGAGCCTTTTTGCTTGATACATAATTTATCATATATCATTCGAAAGAGCTATTCGAGCTTGGTCGAATGTACCATGATTGGCTAGATCTGATCATTCTTACGAAGATTATGAAGATATCTAAATCCTATTTGGATAAACTTTTTGTGCCAATGCAAGGGGATCAAATAAACGGTCACAACTTTGTTCACTTAAGTCAGATTTCATTGATTTTAATGTCATTCGACTCAGCTCGAAGAGCTCTTTCGAATGATATATAACTAATTTGCCATAAAATGAGAAGAAACTAGTAAAAATAGAAAGGAAAAGAAGGAGGGGGGCGAATTCCAAACTATTACCGTGAATTTTAAGAGAAAATCGAGGAATATGCCCCCTATTCAACCTCTTTTAATGTCTAAAATTTTTAATAAAAATTCTAAAATTTTAGTAAAAACCCGGTTTAGTAAGCAAATTTTCTGTTAAATTTATTTGATTAAAATTGTGAGGATTTGATGAAATCGGTTGTAAATTATCAAAGTAATCGTTTTTGGCTTTCTTTTTAGGCAAAGATTCTTCTGAATATTCCGGAGAATTCATATTTGCTTCTGAAAAATATGTAGTAATAAATTTGATAAATGAGAACATTTACAAGTTTTGGATCTTCTAATATAATACTCAATTGTACAAATTAATTGAATAGTAGTGAATAGGCCGTTGAGTCTTTTTCGGGCCAAAATTCGATGCCCGGTTGGATCTATTGAACCGGCCGGGCCCCCAACCCAATGTGACATGCTATCATGTACTATAATAGCAAAGAGCTCGTCAGGTTTACAAAAAGATCAGAACAAGCCACGTAAATTTTTTACACTCTCAAAACCTTTAAACGGAATAGACTCGTTGTCAACTGTTGTCAACTGCGATGCCTATGCAATAGTGACCGGGCCCGGACCGGAGTTTCCCGGGTCCCAAATCCTGGTTTTTTTCGCAATCTGCGGATTAAAAAGTTAGTTAGAAAATTATTGAAACAATGAACTTCAATTTTAACTATTGAATAAACCTACAAATAGATTAAGAGTAAATGATAACAAGGAGTAATTTCCGAATATATGTAAATAAATTTAAAAAAAAATTTTCAATTTTTACCCCTAAAGATTTTGCTATTAATTATAAAGCTCTCTCTAAACTCCCTTTCCATCACAATTAAAACAATAACTATGAGGAAGATCATTCACTATATATCTCGTATTTTAATCAAAGGGTCTTACAAATATAAAGATTAAGAGTGCACAGTTAACGTCTCAAATTTAATTTTAATATAAATCTCTAATACTCTCATAAATACTTAATTCTTTAACATTTACGTGTCATTGAACCAATTTCTAACCTATAAAATCATTAAAAAAATTTTCAAAAAGCTAATGTCTTTCACTCAATAGTTTAGTATCCAAATACTAAATTTGTTTAAAATTTAATTCATTTTTATAAATAAATTAAAATTTAAATTTGAATTTGTATTTTTTCTGAAAATTTTTATTTTAATTAGCAATATATCGAAAATTTGTGTCATCCCTCAATGCTAACCCAGAATAAAGTAGGATTTGAGGGGATAGAGTGATATAAAGGGGGTTGACGGTATCAAGTGTGAAATCGATGGATTTGAATGGAATAGGGAGTTGTGGGGTAAAGGGATATGGATAGTAGACTTTTTTAGTCGCTCTTATCAATTTATATCACATTAAATTCACCAAAATCCCCTTTAATCCCTCAAAGTCCCCTAATTAAAAATGTAGAAAGAAAAACGTTTGTGATCAAAATCTGAAGGCATTAAAGGTCCGATAGTCAGTGAAAACCGCTGAAATGTCTAATGTATGTTAACATGTCAATCTCATAAGGCAGTTCCTAGTGCTCGTTATCCCTGAGCAAGGAAAACATAATAAAATATTTAATTGTCATTATTAAAATTAAAAAATGTCTAACAATTGTTTTCCGCTTATATTAATTTTGGGAATGCATAAAGTCCTAAGATAGATCCAAAAATTAGCTATTTTGAGCCAATTTAGACTCTATTATATTTACGTTATTAGCGTCGGAAAATTTTTGGATTTTTGAATATTCAAGGAGCCAGAATTATCAGAATATGACGAATTGACTGGAAATAGTCAAAATTGAAGAAAAATCTCCAAAAACCTAAAATAGGTCCAAAAAAGCTCAAAAAAGGCTCAAAATAGGTTTAGGTCCGAAAAGGCCGAAATATGTTTTTTTAGGTTCTATTAACCTAAAAAGTACACAACATCTCGCACTAAAACAGTGTTTTTTCGACTTATCATGGTATGATCGCCAAAAAATAGGTAAAAACCTTAGACACGCTCCACTCATAATAATTCTTTCTGTTCATGACTTTTTGAAAATTTTTCCGTGAATCGGAATTTTTACTCGTAATCTTACCAAAACTTCGAAAAGTCTGATAATTTTTGGGAATTTTTTTATTTTATTTTCAATAAACATTTTCACATTTACCCAGCTAATTCTTAAAATTTTAAATTGATTTTTATGGCTGTCAATAAGCAACTCGATTCTAAGGGCAATTTAAGAAATTATTTCAAAATTATACAAAAATATATACATATATTTATAACTTCTCATTAAATAATGCTTAAATGTTTACTTAAAAATATTTAAAAATTTATTTAAATTTCTAAATACATATTATTTAGACTTGTTTGAATTTTAAATCGTTTAAATTTTTGGGTTTCTCCTTCTAACCGTTAATATAATCTGATAGTTAAATGCAAATTATGTTGTTCATCTTACATGTAGGACTACTCAAAAAATTTATCCAGCATTTTCCAAACATTTTTACAAAACATTTTTAGTAATTTTAAAAATCTAGTGTCAATAAATATTTTTATAAATTATTATTCTTTTTGGTTTCAATTTAGTTGGATCCAGAAAAATTTTTGCCATAAAATCATAATTCGTTTTTTATTCTCATCTTTCTTAATATGTACATTCAGTAAATGCTCTAATAGAACCACATGCGATTCAAGAACACGTCCAAGTAGGAGCGCGGCCATAGCGGCGCAAAGCCATAACTAACTGTAAAATTTCTGGACTTTAACAATTTTGGTATAATCTCTAGCTCGAGGAGAGGAATCGTTTGAGGAACGATTCTGAAATCTTGAAGTAAGTTAAGGCTTTGCGCCGTTATGGCCGCGCGCCTACATAGGTTGTACCCGTGCTTCTATTTTTCGTCGATCCTCTTGTAGGGTGTGCTTATATTAGGGAGTGTGCTTCAAATAGAGAGTGTGGTTCTATTAGAGCATTTAAAGTAAATATTCTTATTTAAACAAACCGTCCAATGCTAAAATTTTATTTCTTAACATTATTATTTATTTTTGGATTTTGTTGGGAAATTGATATTGAAATAGAAATAAATGAAGATTATTTATTGACACGTCAATTTAATAATCTTTTGAATTTAAAAAATAATAAAAAACAAATTTTGGATTGTTCATTAATAATTAAAGTTGGAAATGAAAAGATGGCTATTAAAGGAATATTAAAAGAAAATAAATTAAAATTTTTAGATGTCTCAGAAGAATTCTTACTTGAAGGAATTTATTCTAAAAATAAAAATAATTATGCGGAATTTTTATTTGAATTACCTGAAAATTATTTTGTCTCAAAATTTAATTTAAAAGAAAATTTTGCCGGAAATCAGGTAGGGGAAATCAATGAAAAAATTTTATTTAATTTTAATTACTTGTTATTATATGTATGTATGAAGTGATGTAAACATTTCATTAATTTAATTATATTTTTTATCCCACCCTAAATGCCTATACCTGTAATGCTTACAATAGTATGATAAAATCATTTTTTTAATTCTTTAAAAGTTTAATTGAGGATCTGGAGGGATTAAAGGGACTTCTGTAAGCCATGAGCTTTACTTTTATGCGTTAAGTTTCAGGATTAAATTTTATAACATATTCTCCGTTGGGAGCAGGCCACCTATGTACCGCAGAGCTATAACAAATAGTCGAATCCGGGACGCCTTGGTATGGTTCGATGCATCTCGACGAGCTGAATCGAACCATATCGGGGAGTCTCGGATTCGACCCTTTTGAACGAAGTTATAGCTCTTTGTTACGTTGGCCTCGCGGTACGTAGGGGTGTACTCTTAACCGTTATACCATACTCGGAGTAAGAAGATCTTTAAAGTATGTAGAGCTTTTTTTAGCTTTTTCCCCTTTAACTAAAGTGATTATATGAAAAAAAGTATTTTAAATAGCATTTACTTCGGTAAAAGGAGATTCTATAAAGTTTACATTAAATTTTACAATTAATACATGAATAAATTTTTAGATAATACATAGAAAAATTTATCAAAACAATTTTGAAGATATTTTAAATAATTCATATAAAATATCCATTTTGCCTGGAAAACACGAATTTAATTTAAATTTAAACAATATTCAAAGTAAAATTAATTATTACCGTCAATTCTATTTGGAGAGTATTTGGCACGAAATTAATTTATTTTCGAGATAAGTGGAATTATTAAATAAAGCCAAAAATATGGTATAAAAATTTTAGAGTCGAACCTTTCATTTTTTTAATTTTTATTTGATTTGATTTAAAAAATCCTTAATCAAATGAAAAATTTTTCATTGTGATTCCCTCAGCCTTTGAGATTCCCCCAGAATCTCAAAGACTGGGATTTTCTTTGTGATTCCTCCAGATTTGAGATTCCCGACGAGATCTCGAAAACTAACCCAGTCATGTTTCCAATATCGATATCAATCACATATATTTTTCACTATTCCTTGGGACGAGTTTAACCACCTTAAGTTAGAATAGACAGGTTCCGTAAGAAAGGTTCGGCCATCATAAATAAAAATAATAAAGGAGGAAAAACATTTGGATGAATTTGAAAAAATATATCAGAAATTGTTTGACAATGGTATTTGTTAATTTAATTATTTTTATTTTGTTGATAATTTTTATTAAAATTCACATAATTAATAATAAAGCTACATCCGTAAAAAACCCTGGATAATTAATGTTTCGACCTCTCTCTGGAGAGGGTAACTGATAGAGGCTAATTATAACTATTTTTAAGCGAGTAATTATTGTTTCAACTTTTCATTGGAGGGAGTAACTAAAGTAAAGTAGCTGGGCTACTTTATATTTCTCTCCTTTAGCTAGTGCAAAAGGTTATTCGGCGGCTGGGAGCGAACCAGCATCTTCAGTAGACCGGACTGATGTGTTAGCCATTACACTACGCCTTCTACTGCACAACCTTAGAAATTAAATAGCTATATGCTTTATACTACAGGGTGACAAGAAATGTTTAGGACAATTTTCATTTTGCCTTAACTTTTTTTCTCATTAATATTTTTTAAATATTTTAATCTCATTTTGTAGCCCAAACAATTTTCTTTCAGTGCTTATAAGTCAGATTCCATTATTAAACATTTTTCTTAATGCTAATTAATATATATATATGGTATTATCGAAATTAAAAAAATCTTTGTTGTAAATAAATGTTGATAAATAAATATCCCTTTTCAGTCATTTAAATAATTTCAGATCCATTTATTATATATATGAAGAAAGCTGAAGCAATATCTCTATTTAACCTTATTAAATCTATTTTACTAGAAGCAAATAATTATCAAAAAAATTTTATAAAAGAGATCATTCAAAACAAAGAAAATACAAGTATTTCAACGAATTTAAATATAATTTTAAAATATAATAATAGTAATTTATTTGGTTTACATACAATTGGGGGCGAAAATTTGTTTAATGTTTTGAAGGAGGAATGCTTTGATTTTACAAAACAAATTTTTAACAAAATAGGTAATTAAATATTTAAATTAATAATTATTCCCAACCGAAAAAGGGATTAGATTAATTACACATAATTTAAAAAATCTCCGTAATCTTAACAAAAATTCGAATACTAACTGAAAATGTCAGCCTAAAAACTACATAAATTAGTGCAAACAAAGTTCCTTATTGTTCTGTCATTACACGTAACATGCCGTAATATTTTAAAAAATTAATTTATGGCAAAATTATTTACGTATTAATTAAAAGACGGGTTTTCAGGGTTCGGGTTGGGGATAAATATGACCTCGGCCTAGTGCTACTCTAGTATTAATATACAGATAAATTACAAGATTCTTATATTTACACATGTGGTTTTCAAATCCAATACCTAATTTTAACCTCTCTCTGAAGAGGGTAACTGATAGAAGTTAGGTAATTAAAACATTTTGGAATATGTATGGGAAATGTGGGAAAATTTATAATTCATTCTATTAGAATAAAAAAATATAATTTTTATAGATGAATACAAAGAATTCAATATACCGGTCAATAATGCAAGTTTATTCAGTAAAATAAATAGTCGTATGAATTTATTGTTCTTATTCCGCGCTATTTTGGAATTATACAAAGTTTTGTCAGAAAAGATTGAAATTAACGATAATGAAAATTTATATAACGAAATGTTAAACAAAATTAAGGAATGTTTGAAAAAGCCAAAAATGTGCTTAGCATTTCCAAGAATGAAATATACTTTTGGCATAATTCTTCAATTCGGGTATGGACAGATTGTTAAAAAATTAATTGATGGAAAAATTAATGTGGAAATTAATTAAAAGAATTATAAGGATAGTATGAGAAGAATTTTTAATGACAAATTGAAAAAAAAATATTTGAAATTTAAAGTATACATATGCTAGTCAATTTAGTATTTTAAGACAAATTATTTAACACAAAATATTTTGTTTAAAATTTTTTTAATTAAAAAGTTTTTAAAATGATACATATTTATTTTCCTTCATCTAATTATACCCCACTTAATTTATTACCCCACTTAATTTTCCCAAATCACCTGATATCTTCCCAAATCTCTAGATATTGCTTTTAAACCCAACCACTCCAAATACCCCTATAGATTCCAACTCCACATTCTACTCCCTGTAAATCTACCGATATCCTTCTATCGCGTACCGTGCCTAATAGTGATGTTCAATCATCAAACTTCACCGAGACTCGCAAACCCAGATCGAGAAATTTTTGCTTATACATTTACCAAACTCAATTAATTTGTAATTTTAATTATAAAAAATTAAAGATTTTTAAAAAATAATATTTATTTTCTTCAACTAATTATGTGTCAAATAATATTTTAGTGAATAGTTTTAAAAATAACATGAATTTCTAAAATTTAGTTTATCTATTTACTAGGGAAAAGCTAATTATACTAATGTAATACCTAAATAGTTAACAACAAACATTACTAACTCTTCAAAAATATTTTAAAAAGTTCCAAAAGAAATTTCAGAGGATTCAATTCCACATTCATCCACACCTCTAGCAATTTTGAAATATCCATTCATTCCCCAATCATAATTCCATTGGTTAGCACACAACCAATAATCCAAATGTGTTCCGTCTGGATAAGTGTCTGTACCCCAACCAATCATTCTAACGGCATGTCCGCCTACATAAACATCAGAAGTTTGCTAAATTTAATTTATAATTTTAGTAAAAGGCAATTAAAGTCTATCCAAAATTTGCCTGATATACTCCTGATGAATAATACATAAAATCATCGTAAACATCAAAAGCAGCTACAACAGAACCATTAGCCATTATTTCATTTTGAATGGCTGCTACATTACTTTGAATATAACCTGTTGTTTTAGCTTAATTTAAAAGAATATTTTGATAAATATTTAAATTAAAGACTAAACTATATTTTTTATCCTGGGTATAAGCAACATTCCAAGCACTCGATGTACATGAAGAGACACAGGACGGGGCAGTGTATTCAGTTGATCCATGGGGAGGGAATGGATATGGTTTACAACCACTGTTCCAAGTATAATTGGTTCCGGTAACAAGACCTTTAATTAAAAATCAGATGATATTTGAGAATGATATTTCTTTAAAAAAAGATATGGCAGGTTGGCACCTACCTGGCATCAGAAAGTTTGCCTAACTTTTCTATTATCTTTTTCTGTATCTTTTTGTATTTTGTTTAATTTGATTACTAATGTTAATTTTTTAACGTTAAGATTGCATAATTACTATCAGAGTGCCAGAGACGAATATTTAGTAGGAGGTTCCATTGAATATCACAGTAAAAATAATTTAAATACCTGAAGTCTGTGTATATTTCCATGCATAGTAAGGATCACCTCCACCACATCCCCACATTCCCGGAGTACAACTCATCAACTCTAGTGCTGAGAAGTAAACTGATGGATTTGTCTTTAAAGGTGCTGAATTCCCCTTTTTTACTTGACTAATACAATAACGATCAGTTAAAGCTGAGGCGGTGGAGACAGCCCAACAATCTCCACAACTTGATTGGTCCTGTTTGAAGGATTATTTATTTATTAAATTCCTAATTACCTGAATCATTCCAACAATTCCAGCACAAGATGCAAATCCTGTACGAACATCAAAAGAAGCTGGAATTGAACGTTTACGGCGAAGATTTGTTTTTACGGGAGTAGAGACTTGTTTTTTCGGGACTTTAAGCTTTGCCCCGAGCATTACTGAATGCTTCTCCAATTTAGCAATTCGATTATGTAATTTAGCAATCCATTTTCCTTTATTTTTAGCGTTTGCCTTATCAACTATTTTTTGAGCTTTATCTAACTTTTCTTTTTCAGTCAGAGTTGCTGAGGAGGATAAGTAATAAATTTGGGCAAAAATAAGGAATAAAAAAATTATTTTTATCATTTCTTATAAGGGGTTGAATTTAATATTCTTATTAATAAAATTAGGAATTGTTGTCTTAAACCCGAAACTTGAATCCATTTTATATTGAATTGAAGATACACTTTATGTTTGAACAACTTTTAAAAGTTTATTAAAAATATTTTGGATAGTCTCTTAATTTTTAAAATATTATTGAAATTAACTCAAAAATATTTATTTATACATATTATAGTTTTGCACTTTACTCAAATATATTGCAATTTAAATAATATTTTCTAGACATAATATTTTTATATTTTATAAAATTAAAGCAAACAAAAATAATTTAAAATTTTTAAATTTTGTTTAATTTCGTATGAAAATATTTAAAATAAAAATATCAAATAAAGATCTTAGATAATAAAAATATTTTCAACTTGTAGTATACTCAAATAGTTGTCCTCCCTCAATTATTACCTTCCCCCTCCCCCATTCACTCAATAACTACCCCCTCCGTATTACTTATCCCCTCCAGCGAGAGATTGAGAAAATAATTACCCAGGGTAATTATTTGGATAAATACATACTTCAAGTACTTTTATGAAATTTAACGTTTCTTCAATTTATTCGCAATTATTATTTGTTTTGGATATAATTAGTGTAAATATTTATTATTAAAAATATGTGGGAGTTAATAAATAATTTTTTTTATTTTTACAGCATTTGTTCAAATATTTATGAAGGACATTTAAATTAATATATAAAGGATTATTTAATAGTTAACTTTAATAATTCCATAATTTATTAATACCTAATAATCAAATAAAATTTAAAAATGTTCAAACTACTAAACATTTTCTTAATTATTCTAATTATAAAAATAACTTCGTCTTTAACACTTAGCATTGAAGAGACGTTGAATAAAGCAAAAACATTAGTTGAAAAAATTAATTTAGAGGCAAAAGGATGGGACGCTAAATTACATAAACGTTTTGCTTTAATGGAAGATAAACATTTAAAAATGTTGGGAGTCAAACTTGCAAAAACATTGGCTCCACCACCTCCACGAAATGAATCTAAAATGGAAAATAAAGGAGAAGGCAAACATATTAGAAGGAAAAGGCAAACAAGTTGTACTGACACTGTCGGATTTGATGCTCGTAACACGTTTCAGTGTTGTGCTGGAATTATTGGTGCAATTCAAGTAAAAATTAGATGTCTAGGAAGTAAAATCAAAAGTCTTTTAGGATCAATCCAGCTGCGGAAGTTGTTGGGCAGTAGCAGTTTCCTCTGCTTTTACTGATCGTTATTGCATTTCCCGCATGAAAGCGGGAAATCCGCCAGCTTTTAATGATCCGACTGCAAGATTTTCTGCTGCAGATATGTTAAGTTGTGCTACCTACACTTCTGGCTGTAATGGAGGAGATCCTTATAATGCCTGGTTGTGGACATACACCTCGGGTATTTGTTAATGATTGATTGTGAATAGGCAAACAATTTCCATTTAAAGGAATTGTAACCGGAACAGATTATACCTGGGCTACTGGATGTAAGCCTTATCCTTTCCCACCACATGGAACAACTATGTATACTGCGCCAGCTTGCACATATTCTTGTACAACAGCGTGGAATAAGGCTTATAGCGTTGATAAAAGATTTTGTTTGTGATTTTATGATTAATATTTATTCGAATTTTTCTATTAAAGCACAAATGGTTTATTTCTTGCAAGGGCAAGGAAATGTTGCTGCAATTCAAAATGAGATTAAAGCAAATGGCTCTGTTGTAGCTGTTTTTGATTTGTATAGCGATTTCTATTATTATTCTAGTGGAGTATATTCGGTAATTATTTATGTGCTTTTTAACAATAAGAGGGTTAAAGTAGAATAGCAACACGACCCACGACCCCCGACATGCTCTCGCCGGCAAACTCCGATCCCCGACATACCCGACCCCGAAGGGTCGGAATGCTACCCTAGATTAATTTCATTCAATTCTTATTTACCTAATAATTATTAAAATAACATCTATATTTATTCAGCACACTCCCTCAGCAACTTATGAAGGAGGACATGCAGTTAGAGTTCTGGGATGGGGCACACAAACGTGTTCGGATGGAACACGAAGAGATTATTGGTTAGCCGCCAATCAATGGAATACTGACTGGGGAATGCAAGGATTTTTCAAAATTCTTCGTGGAACTGATGAGTGCCGTTTTGAATCTTCAGAAATTTCATTTGGCACTCCAAATATTAAATGATTTTAAATAAATTATTGACAAAGTTTATTATGTAAAAATCGTAGAATTTAAATTATGTAGTTAGTAGAAATATGCAGATTATACATTATATCTAATTATTTAAATATTGGTAGATCTAAATTAAATAATAAAATTTTTTTTGAAGAATTATATAATTTATCTAAAAGATTGAAAAATTATTAGAATATCTTTAAAAATAATAATAAATTAAAACAATCATTTTTAAGTTAACTATATTATTAGGCAAAACTGGAAATAATTTAAGGATGATTCACCTAGAGCATTTAAAACGCTCAGTTTATCTATAGAAATTATAAAGCAAAAATTTTTTTAGATTAACGCTTAAAGAAATATTCGCGTGTAACCCTCCCAAAATGAAAAAATCGCATTCCCCCTAAAACTGACTTAAATCTACTCAGAGCAATCCAGTAGGAGTTGGAGTTTTTATCTTTCAGATTTGTCCAGTTTGCTAAGATCTTAATTACATTATGTTGAGATCATTCCTTTAGGACTGTCTATTTCTGAGATACTGAAAATACAATTTTGGGGGAAAATTTTGATATGGTGTGCCTAAAATTACATAACTTTCCTAATCCTTAATCAAAAAATCTTTAATTATACTATATGATAGAGAAATAAATGAGCTACAAAATAAACTTGGAATTATCCAAAAATGATATGAATAAAAAAAGTTATAAAGGATAAAAAAGTGTCCGGTTTCTTTTGGGTCACCCTGTAATATTGTTTTTGATAATTTACGTATTTAAAAATAAAACTATCAATTAAAGACCATCGATATTTTATTTAATCAAAATATACATAATTAAAATTATTTTCGAAAATGATAAATTTTTAAATCATGTCGTTTCTGCACGCGACTATTGAAAGACAAGACAAAACTTTAAAATAAGCTTCTTTCAACTGTTTCCGCAGGAAGGATTGTTTAGTTATCCCAAACTTTTTTTAGTAATTTTATTTTCTTTTCATTAAAAATTTTAGTTTTCAGTTTAAATGAAAGCACGAAAAATCCTCAAGATTTTTACGCATTTCCTGCAGACTGGACTGGTGTTTTAAATAACTCTATGGAAAGATTGCTTTATTTAAACTAAAAAGTTTTGGCCGTTTTTCCTTAATAAAATTATTTTTTTAAATTAATTTTAATGTCCAATTTTTTAGGTTAATTTCTAATTATTTCAGAAGTAACCAATGTCCAGATTTAATGGAAAAAATATTGTAATTTTATATTTAAAATTAGATAAATTATGATTCTATAATCAGAGACAGGGTTTTTATACAAATGACTTTTTTCCCTAAATAGGCATGGTGATTAAGTATTCAAATTTGGTAATATCTAAAACAACTTTTAGTTAAATTAGCACTTTTTTGCTGACTAATTTAATTAATTTTTCAGTTCTATATGCCTAGTAGAGCTGTCCAAGACTTTTGGTCTTGAGTCTTGACTCAAGACTTTTCTTGGATTTCTTCGGTTTTGGTCTCGAGTCTGGGAAAATTTTTAGTTTTGGACAATTCTAATGCCTAGTATGGCTGTTTATCAACGACTATTTTGAGCCTATTCTCTGAGTCAAAATCCTTCCTCTATTTATTAATTACCAAAATCTAATAAAAATATTAATTTTTAGTGTACAGCATTAAATATAACAATATTTGCTATAATAGTTTTTCTGAACATTAATACTGAGGCGTTAATTACAGTTGAAGGTTCGGAGCCTAAGTCAGTTCAAGGAAATTTTGCTTTTGCAAAATGTAAGGAATTTATTTCCAATAAATTCTGTTAAATTAAAAACGTTCTTCAACAATTTATTAAAAATTTTTTCAAGTTTTTGCATTAGAAGACACTAATGCCGTCAGAAATTATCGGCCTTTGGACAAACGCCAATCCAAACAAACAGCAAAAGAAGTACAAGTGAGGAATGGAAATGATGAGAATGGGTTTGCATTCGCTTTTGCGAAAAGAAATGCTGAAAGATTTGCTAAGATTAAGAGGGGAGAAAGTAAATCTGAGATGCCATTTGCCGGTTAGAATATTTTTTATAGAGATACCGTATATCCTTTAATAACTACCCTGGGTAATTATTGTTTTGACCTCCCGCTGGAGGGAGTAATTAAGCAAGGGAGTGTAATTATACGAGGGTAATTTTGAACGTTGAACGTGTTTTAGAGCATTTGTTCGGGGGTAATTATTGTTTCAATCTATCGTTGGATAGGGTAATTAATGGAAGTGGGGTAGTTATTTGAAGGAGGGCAAATAATACAGGTTATACGGTATTCAATTTTATTTTTAGTGGAAATTGTTGAGCTCGTTCCCGGCAATATAGTAAGTAATGGCGGTGTTTCTGGTGCTCGCTTTGCCAGACACTCCGAACTCAACAGCTTTGCCAGACGTTGAGAAATATAAATTTAATTGAAGAATTATGTAAAATTTAAAAATTAATGGAAAATATTATATAATGAATTATTTTTAAAGAATTAAACAAATTTTTATAAATAAATTTTTAAAAAGAAATTTTATTCACAATTTTGTCGACAAATTTTACATGAATTTAATTTGCACTAAATCTCCGTCCTAAGTTTTCTCTTGACTTTACAACCTAATAATTTGATAATATGTGAACCTATCCCCCCAAAAAGAAAAAAAACTTTCGCTTGAACCATTTGCCTCAAAGAAAAATTTAATGTTCATAACTCCATTAATTTCAACTTTTGCCCAACAATAGAAGAAGAGTAATATGTAAGTGATATTCGAGACTATCGGTCTCTGTTCCC